GTGTGTGTGTGTGTATGGTGTTGTGTGTGTGTGTGTGTATGGTGTTGTGTGTGTGTGTTGTGTGTGTATGGTGTGGTGTGTGAGTGTGTGTGTGTCTGTGTGTGAGTGTGTGTGTGTATGTGTGTGTGTGTGAGTGTGTGTGTGTCTGTGTGTGAGTGTGTGTATGTGTGTGTGTGTGTGTGTGGTGTGTGTGTGTGTATGTGGTGTGTTGTGTTGTGTGTGTGTGTGCACCACAGTCACCACAGTACAGCTCAGGACTTCTTCAACTCTCAGGTGCATCTGAGTTACTTGGGGATCTCGTTTAGATCAGTATTCTGATTCTGCAGGCCCCTGGGTAGGGACCGAGGCTCTGTCTTTATCACAAACCACCATGTGAGGCAGCTGCTGCTGTCGGGTCCTGGACTACATTTTGAGTAGCACAGCTCTTAGTGACACAAAAGGCAAGTGGGAACAAAAACCCCTCTTAGTGAACAGTGCCTGAGGATTTCACTGGTGAATAAGCTGGTAATTTTCGCCACTGGAATGAAGAATATCAAAGTACTATTCCTGCTTCTTGAGAGCTTGGTTGAAGGTCATGAATTCCTGGTGCCCATGACCTTGGAGATGATGGAAAGCCAGGTGGAAATTCTGGGCCGCGTTAAACTGTTTCTGGTATGAATCAGCACCATGGACAGCCAGAGTGATTTCTACTTGGTGTTTCTGCTAAGATTTAATAGTAAAGTCTATGCAATGACAGCATGACAGCACATCTGCATTCGTGTCTATTAACCCAGAGATGACAAGGTCGCTGTACAGTGATTGGTAGCATCCTGGAAATACCTGCTGACTGATTTTCTAAATAGACCCAGTGCTGCTCGCTTCTGTGTGACCCTAAGGTCTGACTCTGCGTGGCTCTAAAGTAGGACGTGCAGCCTTCCTTATATATGCCATTATTCGGGACCCCACTGCTAGAATGCAAGGCTGACTCATTTCCCGTTCCTCTGCAGGGTCTGCTACCGCTGAAGCCAGGACCCCATATGCTGCGTCTAAAACGCGTGGCGTGTCCAGCGGCTCCCGGTGGCTCTGCTGGCATCAAGGTGGTGATAGCCTGGAGCAGCGAAGAGGGCTTCACTGCTGTCCCGTTTGCACTGGAGGGTTTGGAGGAACTGGGGGCGTCATCACATCATCACCGACTCCACTGCCCCCAGCTGATGCTCTCTTAGAACCTTCAAGACCCTCCTGGCTGCGTTCTTGCAAATGCCCGGCCTCGCCTGCCCTGCCCACAGCTCCGCACACAGCTTCTAACAGAGCCGGTAACTGGAATATGTACTTCCTTGCCTGTCACCATCAAGGGCCATCGGGAACGTCAGCGCGGCTCACAGAACCGGTCTCAGGGCTGCTGCCGCTGTAGGCGGACAGCAAGGCGTCTTCGCGGATGTCCCCGGACATTTCTCTGTGGGGTGGGGAGGGACCCGGGCGCCTCGCCGAGCTGCTGCACAGCAGCGTTTCGCGTTTCCCGAAGACATCACTACACCAGGGAGCAGTGCGGCATTTTCCTAATACACCCGCGAGATTAAGCTTTAGAGCCGCTGCCATGTTATGTAAGCTGGAGGCTGTGAAGGCAGCCTGCGGAAGAAATTAGGAAATCTCCAATCCTGGCTCTGATCAGATTTCATAATCAGAAGGGAAATGATAGTCTGAGTGAACTTTAACCTAAATAAACATCTAGTTAATTGGTTTCCACGTGAGTGACAAGACTTCAAGAATGCAAACACACTCAATAATTATGTTCAGTTTTTGAGTTATTATTACATAACAAGAGAACTAAAGGGGTTTGAGAGATTCCCTTTAATACCTTGCCTTCATAGATCAGCAGAGTGAACTGAAGATATTTGCCCAATATCAAATAATGACTGACACAGAGCGCGGGCCGGCATTCATGTCCCCAATTTAATGGGCTCCAAATTTAATGAACTAACTTGAAGGGAAAATGAAGTCCTAAAGGACAGACAGGTCTTCAAAAACCAGAGCCCCTGGGAATCCCATGGCCTTGAACCAGAGGTGGACCGGCACCCGCCTCTCCCAGCTGCTTTCTTTTCACCGTGCTTGAAGTGGGGGCCTTTTACCTATTTTGCTATTTGTCATATCCTGCTGGAGGTGTTAGCTGGGCAATTAGATGACAAAGGAAGAGTGACAACTTTTGAATACAGGACAAAAATAAAGGGGTGTTTTCAACTCCTCAGTGTAAAGCATTTTCTCTTCTAATCATTTGTTAAGCCAAATAGAAAAGGCCATTAACAAGGGTAGCAGATAACAAATTAAAACTTTAGCTAGAATTTCCCAGAGCAGAGTTTATCAATGTTGTCATCACAACCTTTAGTGGAATCCCAATAAACATCACTATCTATTAAACGTCCGCACACAGGGCCTTTTCTCTGCAGTCATGTCCCGTTCAGTCACGACTCTTTTAGGGACACAGCAAGTTGCCTACACGGCACTCTGCATATGTGTATGCTCCCTAATTATCAAAACTATAAGGGTTTTTTTTTTGCCCAGGGCCATCAGTATCCGTATAAAGTACTTGATTTTTCAGTCTCCTTTGTCACTAGGGGTGATCAGCGCAATGTGGCTAAGAGTCCCCAGCAAAGCAGTGCTTTCATGATACAAAGACTCTGAAATAAAGACACTTCAGACTTCTGGCCTTGCCTGTTCCCGTTTCCCGCTATCTGCACCCCACACTCAGTGCCCCAGTCACGCCGCACGCTTGGGGCATCAGAAAAGGATGAGGCAAAGGGCTCGGTCCTGGGAGACATCCTGCCAGCTTTAGCCCACACGCCTAGGAGAGGTGTGTGCGAGCCACAGCAGCTCCCGGTCACGGGCCGGGGAGCGGGCTTTCAGTTATGTGCGGTCAGACACACTCCTCACGGACCTCACCGTTCTATGTCTTCACAAAGTGATCCTGGCTCCTGGGGCTGAGGACTTTGGTTCTAGGTCTGATCCCCTCCCAGGCCAACAACGAGATGAAATGAGGCAGGGCCACCTTTTAACCCAATGCAGGTGGAGAAAGCACTGCGTCGCTTCACGTAGGTTGCTTTACTGAGCAACAGGATTCTAATTCGCACGGACTCAGATGTGATGTCTCCCCTCGTGCCAGATAGACAGGGGGTGGGGCATCTGCACACCTCATATTTTCCCATCCTAATTACGGGGGCACTGACAGTGATTCTTCCTCGACACAGAGGGGTTTTGGGAATCTCTCCAAATGACACTGTCCCCTCAGCTGGTGCCAAGAGGGACAGCGACCAACAAGTGAAGCGTGCACACATCCGTGCACCAAGACTCACCTCCAGAGTGGGCTGGCGGGCCGCACAGCAGGACCATGCCCTGACCTTGACGGACAGACACCGTGCTTCTCATTCTCGTTTTAAAGTTTTCAAGGTCTGTTGGGACAAATAAAAGAAAAATGGCTTAACATGTAAAGTCCTAAGATGTTATGGGAGAGTCCCACTATTTCAAAATGGGATTTGGAGCACCTGTACAAAGAGAATTCAGTTTAGCATCTTCACGTGACACTGTCCTGTCATCCTTGATTTTTTATCTGTACCGTAGGGCAGCCACTCGCCACAGTTCAGTTCATCGGTCACACTAGCTGCATTGTACGTGCCCAACAGCCAGTGTAGCTACCGGTCACCATGCTGGACAGCAGACAGAACACTTACATCGCTGTGGAAAATCCCACTGGACAGGACAGTGCAGTCCTACATGAGGAAGCCGGCGTTTAATGGCATCTCTATAATTATATACTACCAGGATGTAACGGCATATTTTTTGATACTCAATTCTGTTCACTTCACAAACCATTCTGTTATATGTGATCACGCTTGTCACTCTGTATGGACCTAGAATCTGACTCTCTCTCTCCCTACACACACACACACACACACACACACACACACACACACAGCGGTTAAACAGGCATTCACGCTCATACATGATTGTTTTAAATTTCTTGTGTAGTTTTAACATTTATGAGGAACTGTCCAATGTTCCCTTTGGAAGAAAGCTTGCGTCTCTCAAGGAGGTCAAGTCTGGTTACAGAGATAAGACATCGCGAAGCCCAAAATCACAGTTGGGGTCAGTCGGTGAGCAGTTGCCAGTAAAAACAAGTTAATGTAAGAAGTGTGTCTAATGAAGTGACATATATTAGTGTTTAAGAAGTGGCTTTTCTTCCATCGTCCCCAATTTAAATCCTCTCAAGGACTGTTTTAAGTGCCATCTCATTTTTCGTTGTCTATGACATTTACGACATTTACTTGAATATCCTCTTATCAGCTTTGGAGGTTACACCAAGCCGAGTGTGTCCTGTGGGTTTGGGAGCTGTGTTGGAAGAGTGCAGTGACAGTTACTATGTCCTCCCCGCTGGCCAGTTTGGTAGGTGCTTCATGATGACGATCACAAGCAATCCTACGGTTCTATGAGTCAAGTGCGATTAATGTCCCCGTTTTACAGGCTAGAAAAGACATTTCTACGCCACTGGTTAAAAGCTACATTCGTGAGTGATGGAGTGAGGAGCAGAACCTGGGCAGCCTGCCCGCCATCCCAAAATAGAAGGTTCGCACACTCAGGCTTGGGTTCAGGGACGGTTTAGGATCCTAAAAAATCTATACACATACATCTTGATTGCCAGTTTCTTCTGGAATTAGGTAAATATTAAGCTCATACATTATTGTTTCATTCAAGTAAGTACTTAACAAATTCTCATTAAACGTCATCTGGTCATCAGCTCAGGGTGTAAACATGGTGAGAACATAGCTTCTGCCTGTAGGGACTCAGGAGCTTAGTGGGCAGGGCTGACAGGGAACACCCAATCCTAGGAACTCGAGGACCGCCAGAGCTGAGCTACAAAAAGGAGCACCAGGAGAACACCCATGTACCCAGCACAAAACAAAACATGGCTACAATTTGAATTCTATTTCTGATACAATACTTTCTTTTTATTCAATGAGCACCAGGTGAGGCTAGGACATAATTTCTCCTTCTCTTTAGGGAAATGGCTTCAGAAGCCTTCAAAGAATATTAAGCCATAGATTTTTAAAACTTCATTATAGCATTAATGGTGCAAACCATTATCCCTAAAAGGGACACCGAAGGAGTCTGAATTGTCACTTCTGCACACCGGTTCTTGGAATAAGTCATCTGGGTTAGCACAGACATCCCATCCAATCTCCAGAGTTGCATGAGAAATTAGGAGCTGCTAGATAACAGAGACAAGTCTTATCTGGGCAAACTCTGCCACAGTTCTGAGTAGAAAAAGCACATTAAGAAATGGGACAGACAATGAGAAATATATGCAATGATAGCTAACTGTCCTATTAAGCTTAAAAGGCTGGGTCCTTGTTTCTTCCTTTTTAGTTTTTGAAGCCATGCAGTCCTACAAGATTTGGGCAGTCGTACTATGCCACATTAACCTGGTGTTTGAGAAAATACTTAGACATATTGCTTAGTAGTTCATTGACATCGATTCCAGATGGTAGGTCCTACCCACATAGTGAATGGAAAAAATGCATTTGGGCAGGTCTGTTGGAAAATCACCTTGGCCATGTATTGACTTGTGTTGTTGACCTTGGACAAGGCTTTATATTCTCATAAGTGGGAATAAGTGTGCTTTGTTTTAAAATAAGACTTATGGGAAAAGATTAAATGAGAGAATATTTGCAAAGCACTAGGCCTTTCACGCTACAAGTTTGGTGCTCAGTCTATGTTTGTCCCGCCCACTGAGGGTTGCTGCCATGCAGTGGCAGACCAACCACACCCCATCATTCCATTTCAAAAGTGTTCCAAGTAGCAATGGACTCTAGAGAGCACTGTAGGTGCTACTCCAAGGATGCCATGGTTGTGCACGTGTAAGGGAAGAAGACATGTCCAAACTTGTTTCAGATATAACTATCCATCCAGATGTTAACTGCTAGCAGCATAGTAATTTTCCAAATCAAAGAACTATGTTGCGAATGGGTATTTTTGGAAGCTTGAACACTCATGGCCAAGCCTTTCCCAGCAATACCATGTTTCCCCCAAAATAAGACCGAGCTGGAGAAGAAGCCGTAGCATGATTCCTCCAGGATGTGGGGGGCACACACCCCTCCCATGAGGGTTTTATGACCTGTTTCAGGGAGAAGAGTGCCTTTTCCACAAACTCCTTCAGCTTAAAATATTCAGTATGCCCAGGTGCCACATTTTGGCACCTAAAATCATGCAAGGGCTTATTTTCCAGCGAGGTCTTATTTTTGGGGAAACAGGCTATTCCCATTTATTGTTTTATTCACAGTCATTCGGTCCCCAAAGCTTTGGTACTGGGTGATGGCCACTAGCAATAGGCATTGTGAGGTAGAATGCACTGTAGATAATGCCCCGTCACCGTGGCCACAGCATGGACGGCAGTGAGGGCATCTACTTGCCAAACGCATCGAGGTCACACCATACGCCAAGTACTTTTCATACAGATCTCATTTGATTCTGTTACCGTTTAAATTCCCAATTTGCAGGTGATTCACTGAAACTCAGAGAGGGTCAGCACCTTCTTCACACACCTAGAAAGTAGCCAGAAGAATACAAGCTCCTATCTGTCTCTCTCCAAAGCCACTGCTGTCACACACAGGAACCGACCACTTCCCCACTGATTGAGTGAAGCCAGTGAAAAATAGCATTTGAACTTGATACTTGACACTCTGGGGGCGGAATCAAAAGTTTGAGTGAATTTAATGCTCATCAGTGAATATATTAAAAAATCCACATTTCGGTGCACAATGTGATGAGCTGGCACATTTGATCCCAAGTCTCCCATCCCCTGGTGTTTCCTGGGAGTGAGCACTCAATGCGGGAATTATTTTAAACATGAGGAGCGAAGGACAAAGTTGGGCAAGGAGAGAACAATCAGGAACCACTCTGCTAAGGACCAGCACTGCCGCTTTTGGGGGGAAGGGGATGAACAATTACACCTGGGTGTGTTGCCCTCAGCTCCGTGCACTTGGTGACCGAAGACAGTGGTTGAATAAATGATGTGTATGTACAACACAGCTTGTTTTTCCAGCTTTGTATATTGACAGGTGATTCGTAGACTTTAAAAAAAGAAATGAAATACTTTTTGGTGCTGATTTCATTCATCAGCAGTTTACATGCATTTTTTTCCCCTGAAATCTCGTGCTAAGGGACACACAGTTTTGTGGCACATGTGCTTTCCTATCATATTTTTTTGTGAAAACAACTGTCTTTTATTCTCCCGTGGAATGTAACATCAGTGTTTTATTTTCAAATGAGACTAGAAAATATGCTCAGTGCTTGGTGTGCAGCTTATTGAAAGAGCACAGAGGACTGAGTTAGCAGCTGAATTCCCGGGGGGAGTAAAAGTATAAAAGTATACAAAGGTCTTAAAGCTGTAATACGTGATAAATAATAATAATAATAAAAAACCTTCAAGGGCCGGCTGAGTGGCTCAGTTGGTTAAGAGCTCGCTCAAGAGTTTGAGATCTGAGCAACAGCAGTTCAATTCCTGGCCCGAGCTGAGCAGCTGCTGAGCTGCCAACAGGTGGCAGGATGGCTCAGCTTAAAAAACAAAAACAAAAACACAAAACTTCATATATGAAAACATTTGAATTCAGACTGCAGAGAAAATCAGGGCACAAGGGGGAAAATCTCCACGTATTTCCTGTCTGGAAAGTTATGAAATGTTTAGAGCTGAGGGAAAGGTGGCTTACAATATGTCATCTAGAAAAAAGAAAATCATGAGAGTCCAAGGTGTTTTTTGAGAATAACAGTCAATAACAGCGCAACTTACTTAGGCCACCCCTAAGGGACTGCCCATCACACATACGAACAGGGGGAACTGAAACCATTCACGGAGTGGGACCACCCAGAGAAGAGTGACAGAGTTTAGGTTTTAAATGGCCAGGGAAGGGGAATGAGAAAATACCAATATCAAGGTTTGTTAAGAATCCACAGAAACGCATGAGGAAAGACAAGAGGAAAAATGATGCAGTAAACCATGCAAGTAATACATGTATTTTTATGCACGTGTTATTTACTATGAGTAAAACACCTACATGTTTTTCCCTGACTTGAGCAGTTCTGGATTCTATTAATTCTCACAGGTGCCTCAGAGCACGGACTCGCCAGCAGCAGTTCCCTGTGTTGTCACTTCCTCCAACTTTGAAAGAAGCAACCAATAAGGAAATCAATATCAGCTTGGAAAAATCATCATGCGAAACATTTGTTATGAATATGATTGTCATAATGATGATTGCACCCTTTATAAAAAGGAAGAGTGTTCTTTTTTTGGAACACAACTTTAAAACCAATCATCATGCAGCACACTGAAGAGTACGCCCTGCCTCTGCCATTTGCTCCCCGAGCGTGTGAGTGCGTGTGCCTGTGTGCATGGTTTCTT